AGAATAGAAATGAGAGGGTTGGTTGTGCCACCCTTCATCCAATAGGATTTTATGAAGAGGATGAAAGGAGTAGTGTATGAAAAAACCTTATCGATGCTCAACTTTTTTTAGAACTGAGGTCCAGATGTAACCCTTGCTGGCTTCCCTCTTTCTCTTCTGACGATTAGTTGTCAATGGTTACGAAAATTGAGTTAAGGCAGTTTAATCTGGGGTTACGATATAATTATGATAAATTTTAGGTATGTGGAATATAAAGAGATGTCTAGGATAATAGTGCATAAAAGTAAAGCGAGACACAGATTTTGTCTATCACCAAGGAGAGGGTTTCTTCGAAGTTTTATTAGAAATTGTGTATGACAATTACAGCCGAATATTTTGCATGTGATCTTCTTGGGATAAAATGAAATAATAGGAAACAAAGTAGTAGTGATTGGGAGGATCTTTGAGGAATTAGCCTAGGTTGGCTTATTAGTGTTTAGGTTTAGCTTGGAAAATTCTTGCTTCTTCCGGGCTTGAACGTCGGTATTTATACAAGAAAAAAGGTCCTAGTGCATTAAATAAGAGTGTTAGCTAATGGCGTAGGGTGGCACTGCGGGTTTTCCTGCAAAAGTTGATGGGACATGTCAGGTGACGCCGCATGTTTTCATGAAAATGTTGATGGGACATGTCGGGCGGTGCTATCAGCTTACCAGGGCGTGTTCAGACGGTTAGGGCAATCGTGAGTCTTCCTTGGGAAGCTTCCGCGGGTGGTCGCCATGCCTATCGAGCGATCAGCAACCCTAACGGTGATCACTTGGGCCTATCGTAGAATAACTTCCTGGGCCTATCGTAGGATAATTTTTGCGCTTTGGGCCCTGTCTGTCGACTTGGGCTAAGATTAGTATGTGGGTCATGCCATTACTTATGATTGGATATTTGGGTACAACATATGTTGTATGTAGATTAATTTTCAGGATTTTAAAATATTGTAAATTAACTTTGTTATTTATTATAAATTATTATATTTTTATTTTTATTAACTTCAATAAAATACGTAGATATTTTTATATCTTTTATTTGTCGGTGTATATTTAGTTATTTTATCAAACATGTGTTTTAGTGCAGAGGTGGGTGTCGTACTAGTTAATGTTAATGGGAAATCCACCCTATATATAAATCCAGAATGCGTTGAGCCTAAGTGTCATGCTCTCACGCTTCAGAATCCTATGTGGCAGAAAACTGTGATTCAGAGTCAGGCTTGGATATAAATTAATATTTTTTATACAAAATAAGTACGTTTGGATCTAATTTAATGTCTATATTATTCATATTAAATTCTAATTGATCTATTTCTTTTTTTTTTTATTCTACAATTACTAACGATAAACTATTTTAAGTTTCTTTTTCCTATATTACCATCTTAAATTTTATTTTCTTATTAATTCATACATCAATTATTATAAATGTTTATTCTTATTATTTTTAAAGTTTTATAACTTTTTTTGTTTGTATTTTATTTTAATATATGATATATCAAATTATTTGTGTTTTAACGATCTTCGATTTGACATCCATATTATATATACAAAATATAGTCCAATGACATATAGTCTTATAAGCCGAATAATTATTTTTCGACGCAGCTCTCTTCCCCTAAAATCGAAACCGAAACCGTAGCTTTCTTCCCTTGTGAATCGTGCAGCCTTCCTCGGCGGTGAGGCGCCGGCCGGTGGTCGTGCTCGACTGCTGTCCCTCCTCTGTTGTTCCAGACCTTCGATTTTGCCGCGGAGAGCCTACAGGTCAGTCATGCCTTTGTTCGCCGGTGAAGTCGCGAAAGGAAGAGGCGAGCTCTTTGGTTGTTGACCGGTTAGCAATTGGAGGAATCGTTGGCAGCCGGTCTCAATTAGAGGTGAGTTTTTCTCCTTTTTCGGGTCATGACCATTCTGCTGATTCTAAGTGCGATGGAGGCCTCTCAGGCGGTTCCCTTTTTTTGGCGGAACTCCGCTTGGGATTTTCCTGTTGCCGGTGGTCTGTGGTGATAGTGGCTGATTTGTGGGTCGTGAGGTGGGATGGGGCTCTGATGGTGTGTCGGAGTAGAGGGCCCGAACCGCCCCCTGTTCCGACTAGTGGTGATAGACGGCGGGGTTCTGGCGCTCCTAAGCTCGGCTAGTGGTGTTAGGCGTGCTTAGGCGGTGCAAGAGTGGGTGCGGGTTCGGTTGTCCCTTCGGTTGAGGCGGGTCGTTTTGGAGATTGGTTTGGGCCCGGGCTCGTCTTTTAGTATAGGCCTTGTAGCAGGTTCGGGAGTCGTCCCCTGGACTTGGACTATTCTTTGATATCGTCTGCTCTCCGCTGGTTAGGACCGGCTGATTGCTGTGGAAGGGCTTTATTTATTTATTTATTTTTAGCTTGTGTTTTTTCTTCTGTAGTAGATTTGTGTTTTGGTTTCGACTCTTTGCCTGTGTGTCCATGTCTTGTGTTTTTTGTTTGGGTCGTTGGCCCTATGAGCCTGAGTGTCACACTTATTATCCTGTTGGGATCCGATATTCGGGTATTACCCTGTTGGGGTCTTTTTAGTTGTGTTAGTTGTTTGAGTTGTTGGTTAGTTTAGTTGTGAGTTTTATTCTAGCCTTGTTGTAACGCCCCAAACCATTTTAAAAGAAAATCCATGGCCTTTTTCAGAAATCAAGGTAAAAATTTTCGAAATTCGTTTTTCGAATCATACACTTTTTTGCGTTACTCATTCTTTTCAAAATACAGTTCAAGTCATATCTAAACTACGGGGATTCATTACCCGATTTTCCAACGGTTTACATTAACCACATAAACATTAAACATGAACGTTAGGATATTCTCAACCACATATCAAGAAAGGTTTTTCAACATAAACCAAATCTAAATGTTTTCAAAATTAACAAGTTCCGAATCCAAATTAACATGTGTAGTAAACCAACAGAAGTTCACGAATAAGCGGAAGCAAATCAATAAGCATAAATAATAGGCATGACCACCACTCGCCTTGTCTCGTTACGCACCACTGCTTAACCTGCATCCGTTAAGAGCAGGTGAGAGTGAGCATAAGAGGAAAATAATGCTCACACTATGCAATGCACATTTCATAATATGTTAAATAGACATGGTTGCAACATGAACATAAACAATATCAGATATGTCTCATCTCAACACAACATAAACATAAATACTCCCGTGTACACATCTTTCATAATAGTCGCGGAAAGGGGATTCATTACCCTAACGGCGAGATTACGTGCCATGCAAGGACACGGCCTTTCATAATAGGTCTTAAGGAGACTTGCCTCGCAAGGGCAACCGTATTACATCGACGGGGACAACCGTAATCATGGCTATCATAATAGCTCACATCAATAGGCTACATATTCACGTTCATACATAGATCACGCCGCAACCGTAAACATATTTAAACACACATTGCACAGGTATTTTAGAATAACTAACCCACCTGGTAATTCGGATTGACGATAGCAAATTCAGAAAAGACGTGGGTCGAGGCTTGACTCCTCAAACACCTACATTATGCCAAGATCATATAATCAATATCTTGACTTAAACGGAAAACACAAATCAGACTTAGTCGAACTTGATTCGACTAAGTTGTTCGTGAAGTCCTGTGGACGTTGGAACACTTAGACTCGGCACTATACTTGACCAAACCACATATGGGAGTTCACATAAATCCCACTATGGATTGACCAAGTCAAACACTCAACAAAACGAAGAGCAAGTCGATTACAGATTTTAACTTCAAAATCATATCTTGAAAATAATAACCAATAATCACATAAAACTAGTTGGTCAGTTTTCCCTATGAATTAAACTCTGAAATTTTGACCAAAATTACACCTCCTAGTAATTGAAAAAACTACCAAGTCTCAGTCTCAAATTCAAAGTACATGATTTAATAAAATTCATACAATATATCAGCAAAAACAAACACAAATTTACATCTAAACCTAATGAATGAATCAGGACCTGATATTTTAAGACCACAAACTACAGCATGAGAGTGACAACATTAAAAAGTTTCAGCCCAGGACATTAACTGTACAAATTTTAAAAATTCATACAAGTTTCCGCAGTTATCAAATTTCAATTAAAACCGAACCAACTTGAACTCCAAAAATTCTCATGTTTTAACAGCATGAATCTACAAATAAAAAAAGCATCTCAGCCAAGTTTCAAAATTTTTTAACAACTAACCGATTTATCATAAATAAAACAACGTTCTGCAGAATCAACAAATAAATTATTAACCCCATCAAACTTAGTCTAAAATTTTAAAACTTTTACACAGCATATAAACATGGTAGAGACATAATATACTCAAATTTCAGCACATTTGAAGCATGAACCAATTTATTATCCATTTAACATGTTTCTGACCATAAATCACTTTATTTATTAAAAATAGCTACGGGCCTTTAAAAATTACGAAATGTTTACACAAGCCTGGTAATTAGCAAAAGTCATGACCCTCAAAATTTCAAGGCAATTCGAGCAGTGCACAATTTTTAAAAATTCAATCACTAAAACAGCTGTTATACATGTTCGACAATTCCACATTTAATATATAACACATACTTCTTGTCCGAGGCCTTCCCATAAGACCAAGGACTCGACATTGTTCCAATATCCACAACCTTACACGAGTTTTGAGGTCTCGCTCAATTCTTTAAAATCGAAGAGATCCCGAAAACACAAACAACACATAAAATCACAATTCATGAATTCATAACATAGAATATCGTAAAGGCATACAAACATATCACAATACACATAATTAAACGAGAGAGTTCGAGCCTTTGTACCATTCTCGGGAAACGATACGTAAGGTAGGGTCGAATAAGGGTTGACGGCGCACAACGGGGGCTCGACGGCTCACCGCTGCTAACCCTTACGACAAAAGGTTGCCCGTTGTTATCCTCGCTTGATCCCGAAAGGCCACTGCTCGACGGAAAAAGGAATTCGGCCGCTGCTGTGAAGGGATGGCTGCTGAGAACGAGGGCCGACGGGGTGCTGCTGACGTTCGGGCCGCCTGCTACAACTCGAAAAGGAGGTTCGGTGAAATCTGAAATTCGAACAGGGGCTCGCTTACAAGGATTTCTCGACGTGAACGGATAGAAAGAGGGCTCGTGAAGGTGCTGCGTCGCTCGGTCGGAGGAGCAGCAGACGGCGGAGAACGGCTCGCCGGAGGAGCTGCGGTGCTCGGAGTTGAGGGCCTGCTCGCGTGACGGGACTCGCGAACAGGGGAGACTCGCGGAGGAGAGATCGCTGCTGGGGTCGCCGAAGGAGCACCGGCGCTAGGCGGTCGTCGCCGGTTGCTGCTGGTCGCAGTTTGCGAGAGGAGGCTCGGCGGTGGTGGGCTGGACGCGACGGAGCTTCTGGCGAGAGAGAGAGAACGAGGGCTGAGGAAGATGATGGCGTGAGGATGATGATGAGGGGGAGTGATCAGAAAAAAAAGAAAAAAAAAAAATGGGAGAGAGAGCTTGAGGGGGGCAGCTAGGCGAGAAAGAAGAGGAGATTGAGAATGGGAGTGTTTTTTGACGAGAGAAAGAGACGAGCGGCTTAATAGACAATTAGGTTATCTCTTCTCCTTTCTCCACAAGACACACTCACGCATAAGGGAGAGCGAGGGAGCCGGTTCGGCTGCCGGGCTGGTTCGGTTCGCTAAACGGCTCGCGGGTTCAATACGTGCGGCTCGTTCCTCGGTTTCTCAGGCTCGACAAAACCGAAGTATAATCCCAATTCTTCAATAAATAAAATTTAACGGCTCGGTTCGATCGCTCGACCTTTAAAATAAAATTCAGATATTATTTATATAAATAATACACACATTAATTATTTATTAATAAGCATTTTAGCATTTAATAATAATAATAATAATAATAATAATAATAATAATAATAATAATAATAATAATAATAATAATCCCAAATATTTCATAAACAAACGGGTTTACGAAACGGCCGGTTTCGACTACCGGTTTATCGAGCTCAATTTAATAAAATTCAAAAATACATAACGCTCGGAAAATTAAAATATGATGACTCGTAAATCTTTAAATTTACAAACCGACACAATATATATTTATTAGCACTCCAATAATAAATATATTAACTAGCAATAATTTTAGTTTGACAATTTAATAAAAATAAGTAATAATGCCAGAATATCCGAAAAATTCATTATTCAAACGGATTATATTCGGTTCACACGATTAAATCGAAATCGCCGAACGTCAAACGTTTTGAAATAAAACGATCGAGTACACCTTAATTAAGTCGACATCACGACCAATAAATTAAATATAAACTTATAAATAATATTCGATAAATAGAATAACCCGAGAAATTCTATAAATCGGACGAGGTGCTACAGTTACTAGTCGGGATTCTAGGCGGTCTTCTGACCTGTCCTCCCACTTTTTCAGTTTTTGGTTGCTGTGTATTCTGCCGTTGGCTGCTGTATATTCACACATTTGTGCATTTTGTTTTGTAATATTATCTATCATTTTGGAAAAAAAAAAAAGAAGACATATAGTCTTATAAATAAAATCTAAAATTATCAATCAAACTAGATTAAAATATATCAAATAAAATTATAAAGCAATAAAAATTTATGTGTATTAACATTCTATAATAGCTATTTTATTTATAAAAAAATAAATAAACTAAGTATGAACATCAAATGAGTATAAAAAGTAGAAACATATTCTAAAAGTTTATGTCTCGACTTAAATACAGACTACACAGAAAAAAAAAACATTATAATTAAAATTATAAAAGTCATTATTTTAATTCATAAGTTTAAAATATTATACTCATGCACATTATATTTTAAATTGTTGAACATTATAAAGTTGAAGATATTTTAAAAATTATTAAATTAGGGTGAAAATTTGTATAAATATAAAGTATAATTACAATATAATCAAACTTGAAAGTGAAATTAGAGGTGATGATAAGCAAAAAGGCATAGCAGATGTGCAACAAGCAGCTGATGATAATGTTTGTGAGGATAGCACAGATGAGGAGTATATTATAGAAGAAAGTTTTGAATCAGATGGTCTCGGTTTAGATGAAATAGAAAGTTGTCAATTAGATGCACTTGGTCAACTTAGTGGAGAAGAATGGGACCAGTTTATTGATAATTTTCATGAGGACAGCACAGATGAGGAGTATGTTCCAGAAGAAGAAAGTTCAGAATCAGATGGACTTAATTCCAGTGAATTAGGAACTGATGATGAAGAATACTTTGAAGCAAGGAGAAAAAGAGTTGAATCCAAAAAAGTTGCAGATGAAGAAACTGAAAATTTCACATTATCTTCGGAAAAGGGGTGGGGTTCCATAAATGAAAGTGAGTTCCTGTCTTTGGGGGAAGATTATTCTGATTATGCAGACTCAGCAGCAGAGGTTTGTTCTGATTCTTCAAGCTCAGGAGGGTTTAGTGGAGATGATGATGTCAGTCATAAGAAGAAGAAGAAGAGAAATATGATAATGTATGATGCCAAGGTTGACCATAAGCAATTCAAGTTTGAACTTGGTACGCGGTTTGAGTCAGTCACTCAAATTAGACATGCTATTCAAGAGTATTCCATATATAATGGTCACAATATTCAGATATGGAGACAAACTCCTAATCAGATTGAGGCAAAGTGTATAGGGTCATGTCCTTGGAAGTTGTATGCTAGCACTGTAAAGGCAGAAAGGAGAGTAGCCATCAAAACATTGATTTCAGATCACAAGTGCTCTAGGGACATGAGAACCAGACAAGCATCTGCAAAATGGATTGCAAAGGAATACCTTCAGAAATTCAGGAGAAAACCAAAAATGAAGATTGGAGACCTTAAAGAGATGATACTTGAGAAGTATGTTGTGAAACCATCCAAGTGGAAGCTGTACAAAGACAAGTACAAAGCACTACAAATGTTGAGAGCCACAGAAGAGGAGCATTACTCATGTCTGAGGAGTTATCTTGCTGAGCTACTGAGAGTTGACAGAGAGGGTTGGTTTGAATTTCTACTTGATGAAGGTAATGTGTTCAAGGGCTTTTTTGTGGGATTTAGTGCATTAAAAAAGGGGTTTTTAAGTGGGTGCAGACTAATAGTTGGTTTAGATGGAGCTTTCTTGAAGACTGTGATTGGAGGGTGTTTGTTGACTGATGTGGGGAAGGATGCAAACAACCAGATTTATCCCATTGCATGGGCAGTGGTTGATTCTGAAAATGAGGCAAATTCGAAGTGGTTCTTGAATATTTTGTTTGAAGAGTTTGGAATCAGGGATGGACTGGGTTGGACCTTTATTAGTGACCAGCAAAAAGTAACTAAACTACGTAATATAATACATAAATTATATTTTTCATTCCTGAAATATGAAAGCTATATAATTTTTACCTTGTTCAAATGGATTGTAGGGGCTGATTAATGCAGTAAAGGATTTGGCACCATTGGCAGAGCATAAGAATTGTGCTAGACACATTTATATGAACTGGAAGAAAGAACACAAGGGTCAAACACTGAAAAACATCTTCTGGAGGACTGTCCATTGCACATTCCTTGTTGCATATAAGGAATCACTGGAGAAGATGAAAGTTGAGTGTCCAGAAGCACACAACAAGTTCATTGAGCAAGACAATTTCAGATTTTGTAAGGCCTTAATCTCAGTACATCCTAAATGTGACATGGTGCTAAATAATGTATGTGAGACCTTCAATAGCACCATTGTTAGGGCTAGGAAAAAGCCTATTGTTGAAATGCTTGAAATGATAAGAACCTATGTGATGGAAAGACAAGTTGATAAACTGAATATGGGAAGTGGTCTCAGTGATACAATTTGCCCTAGGATCAGAAAAAAACTAGAGGAAACTAAGTACAAAAGTAGGTTGTGTGTCACCAAACCTGCTCTAGGAAACAAATACCAGTTCACAGAATTTGAAGACGAATTTGTTGTTGATTTGGGAGATGGGAGTTGCACATGTAGGCAATGGGACATAAGTGGTACACCTTATGTCCATGCATGCTCAGCTATTCACTGGTTGAAAAAGGATGCCACAGATTTTGTGTCCCCTGTATATAGTTGTGAAAGGCTCATTACATCATACTCATTCCCCATGGAGCCCCTTAATGGGAAGAGGATGTGGCTAGAGGCTTCAGGGAATCCTATCAATCCCCCACCATTCAGGAGAATGCCAGGTAGGCCCAAGATCAATAGAAAAAAAGCACCTGAAGAAGACGCTAAGACAAGCTCAAGGCTGAAGAGGTTTGACTTGCAAATGACATGCCAAAGATGTTTCCAAGTTGGCCACAACAAGAAGACTTGCACCAATGACCCAACTCCAAAACATGCTATGGTATATTTTGTTTTTAGGTATTATATGTTTTTATAGTATCTGAATATGTGAACAAACCTTTCAATTTTAGAGACCTAGAGGTAGGCCAAGGTTGATGAGAGAAAGCACAAGGGCAGGTGGAAGTGAATTTATTGCTAAGGTGACAGTTAAAGTTTTTTTTTTTCTTTTTGACCTTATAACTTTTCAAATTTTTGGAAGTTTTATAAGCTTGTAAATTTCAGAGGCCTAGAGTTAGACCAAAGAACATGAGAGAATGCACAGAGGAAAGGGAACAATCTGGTGTAACTTCCCATGCCATTGTAGCTAGGAAAAAAAGCATTGGTACTTTGATACATTCATTTCTCATTAATTGTCTTTCAAATTTTCTATTGTCTGAAACTTTTTTATATATATGTTTGAAATTTCCATGACAGGTGCTTAGACAAAATAGAGTTCAAAAGAAATCTCAAAACAAGGAATTGGAAGCTGTGGAAGATATGGGAACTCAAGAAACTGTTGCCAAAAAGTGACAGAAACATTTTGTTGTGGACATGTGGATGTGAACAAGTTACATGTGCTTCTTTTGTACTGAAAAGGTTATGTTTATTGATGTGTTTGTGGACATGTTGATGTGAACAAATTAATGGGTATCAGTTTATGTTTTTGTGGACATGTGGATGTGAAGAAATTCATGGTTGTGGACATGTGCTTGTGGTTGTGGATGTTCAGACATTATGATTGTATTTTGGCCTAGTTTTACAATATAATGGATCAAAATTGCTTCATATTGATATTGTTTGTGTATGTTCTTATGTTTGATTGTATTATGGGATGGTCTTGTTCTATATGGTATTACAGGCAAACAAACAATGATGTATAATGAATCATGGTGTTTTATTCAAGAAATAATGTTCATTGAACAATCAAAATCTTCCTTATTGCAAATAAAACCACACCAGCTTTAAACAACCAAAATTATGTTCATTGAACAACCATAAACTTGCTAATTGCAAATAAAACCTTGTTCTTGGTACAAACAAACACTACATAAACCAGCTTTGTCTAGCTGAGCATACAAAGCTACAAAAAACAACAACAAAGATAGCTAAAGATTACCATCTTCTCATCAACATTGAACATCATATAAAAACAAACATAATATTCTTGTTCAAAGCTACCTAAGAATTAACTTCTTCTCATTAGACACACCAAAGAACCACATGGCTAACAAAGACATAATGACTAAAATCAGTCACTTTTTGTCAATTTTTTTCCCTGTTGCAAGTTTTTCTGAAGTTCAGCATTTTCCATTTTCAACAGATCCAACTCATTGGCTTTCACTTCTAATCTTTCAAACAAAAGTTTCTCCATCACCATTTTGCATTTCAATTGTTCCTTCAACACTTGAACTTGACCTTTCAACTTCAAATAACTAGCTTTCTGAAAAGGTGGGAGCTTGGTGTTGACATCCAAGTTCGCCTCAAAAGAGAATCGGACAAAAGGAAACTCCAAAAGCCGAATCGGAGGCCCGGTCGAGCGTGAAAGTGCTGAGCTGAATCCCGAATTAAATTGACTATCACGTCTCCGTGGATCCATTCCCGAGTCTGGCATTTACGCCGTTCAAGTGTCGGTGTCGACCTCGAATAGGTGGTGGGCTGAAATAAGACTCCAAAGGGCCAGAAGGGTAGAATGAGCTTGGGAGCCGACCTGAATCTTCAGAGCGGTTGTCCCGGAGACAGGCGCGGGGTCCGATAATAATATAATAATGCCACTTGGAGAGTAATCATTGGCGATTGGACAGAGCGTCGTAGCCTGCAGGTCTGCATCCACTAGCCAAGACATAAAGCCTGCCAGCATTAAATGATCCCCATGTGTGCATTAAATGCCTGACGGGCAATGATTAGGAAAACCTCAAATCACATTTAATATCTGTCAGGGAGACGCCGGACTGCTCTGCCAGAACACTGTACGACAAGACCGGTAAACAGTACCTCAACAGTGTCACATTTAAGAGGACTATAAATAGCAGCCCCCTCATTTATTTCTGGGTTGTTGAATTTCTAACTTTCAAACTCTCTCTTGACTTTCTCTCTCTAAATCTGTAACTAATCCCTGTGAGAATTTGTAAGGATATCACAAGTGTCGACCTCGTACGAGAGGCCGACCTAGTGATTTATTAATAAAATCGTGATTAATCCGTATTTCTCTGTCCTTTCCTTATTTCACATTTTCATCACCCGTTTCTTTGACCGTTGACCGGAAATGCCTGTCAACAGTTTGGCGCTAGAAGGAGGACACCATAAATTACTTGGTGTCAATTGTCAAACCTTGTGGAACCCCAAATCTTTTTCATCTTTTTTCCACTTTTCACTCCCAGAAATCACTCGAAATGACTTCATCCGGTCATGACCAGTCCACTCGGCAGTCCGGCGCCCAGTCTGCCGGCGCAACGGCAGAAGGACCTCCCGCCGCGCTCTGCAGGGAATGCAAACCCCTGCTCCACCAGTCCCGACCTTTGCTGTGGCCATGCAGCATCCCGACGTCCTCAAAGCTCTCGAGGGGGTCTTCGGGAAGGCACTCGTAAGCCAGGCGGCCGGGGAAAACACCGTGGTGCCCACAGAAAACCCCAGAAATACCTTGCTCCGTACCCTCGAAAAGCGGGCCGGGGGGCAGAAAAGGAACCCGACGAAATCCAAAACCACGGCTTAATTACCCAACCTTGAAGCCCGGAACCGCCGCGACAAAAGCACCAGACAGACGCCCACCGAGCAGACGGGTGAGAGCCATCCGGAGCAAAGCCTCAAAATCATCCGTCGTTCCGTTTACCAACGCCTGGGCGATAAGAGTTAGGCCAACCGTGACCTCAGGGAAGTCATCGAGCGGGGTAAAGCTGTGGGACGCGACACCGAAGAAGTCGGCGCCCCTCGGGGAGTGAACTGCCACTTTCTTCCCATCCACAATCGACCCCTTGGGTCGTAGACCACGCTTCGCCCCTCTCTTCTGACATCTTGCGGGAACCCGTGCCCAAGTGGATCAAGGTTCCGCAGCTCGGACTTTACGATG